GCGCCGCCTGACCCGCTCCGGCCGGGAGTCGGGCTGCGGCGAGGCCCGGTTGGTGACTTCAGTCCGGCGGGGAGGCGGCGGGCCTGGGAGGGCCGGGGTCGTGGTCGTGGTGCAGGGACCGCTGCCCTGACCGGCGTGTGGCGGCCGTCAGGCGGTGCTGGAGCCTCTGCGGAGATCTTGCTACTCGCTTTGTTTCCTGGGCGCGTGGGGCAACAAACGCAGTTGTTTGTGCAAGTTTTTCAGCAAAACAGTTGTTTTAAAACACAGTTTAATGAACTATCCGGAGCGCGTGATGTCACTGCGCCGTCATCGCCGACGCGTCCGGCTGGCCTGCGGCCATCCCAGTGAAGCTGAGAATGGCTGCTCACTTCTGTGTCTAAAAAATGGGAGATTAGTGTTCTTACTGACACAGCTCTTCTGTAGTCTGCACGTAGAAATCTCATCAGCAACGGCTTCTTTTTTTTTTTTTTTTTTTTTTTTTTTGTAGAATTAAAGCATTATTATCTTAAGATCTTTTTGCATTGTAAGGCAGGTGTTTCTTGGAGACTTTCTGTGCTAAGTGAAATCTTGAGAAAACTAATATCTTCTAGGTTTAGTCTTGTTTTATAGCTATAATGTCAAGCAGTAGAAATAGGCTTACAGTAGATGCGATTATTGTACCTTGACCTCTCCATTAAGATCAGGCAGCTCGGAGAGCTGTCAGTCTTGGTTTCAAAACAGGCTACTTTAAACTGACTGTGCCCAAATTAAACCTGCTGCTGCGTCAAGGCTCACTTCAGAACTAGGTAGTACTTCTGCTAACTTCTGCGTGTTTTTTGCAGGAAAAAACCAAACACGTTACTACCTTCTAGTGCCACCAAGTGGACATCTCCACTTGCCGATGAAAGCTTTCTTGAAATTATTTTTATTTCAACACTTATGTTCAACTTTTATGGATGTTTATTGCTAAGTGCCACGTCTTCACATGCTGTTCTGAATCAAATAAAATATTTCAAGCATAACAGCATGTATTGTTTTAATGGCTCACCTAATGCCTTGTTGAAGAGTGCCATTTGACAGCAGTAGAACCTGTCATTTCTCATTATCCATGAGGATGACACATACTTCCATGCATGCTTTTCTGCCTTTGTTAGGAAAAATCACCACGTGAAGCAGTAGTTGAAGACCCGATGGTCTGCTGCCTCCTCAATTCGTTTTCTTCCATCAAAGTCACATGATGGACTATATAGAAAGTTGAGAGTAGAGCAGGCAGGGCAAGCTGAACAGGCTCGACAGAGAAGAATACTTAGGATTTGAAGAGTTTTCCACATTTGCTGGGTTAAACCACTCACTACAGCCTGACCTCAAAATTTGGAAACCACTGTAATGGAACAAGGTCAAGTCTAGATCATGTAATCCGTTTAGGCACGGATTACTCTGTTTCCTGTACTAACCTAGCATTAAAAAGGAATCTCGGAACTCAAAATCATAAATCAATCTGCAACTGTAAATATACAGACCAGAGTTCTGCTGCGTACCCTTAGTTGGCCGTTCTGACTGAGCAGTCATGCATCATTCTTGCCGGTAAAAATCCACCTTTGCATTCTGACTCTTTGAAACTGCTCAAGCTCTGTTCTGCCAGATCTGACTTCTGATATCCGTATCCTTAGGACAGAAGTGTTCTGCATACACTCTCGTTCCTTTTATGGATCGTTTTGTTTTCCCTCCACCTCCTCCTTGCAGTCTTCCATGACTCTAAGCCAGCGAACACGGGAAGCCAAGACGTTATTGGGCCAGTTACGTTATGTAAATTTGCTGCTTCGTCCAGCAGGTTTCTTTCAGTAGCTTAGAGCCCTGCTCAGGGCAGCCTCAGAGGGGGACTCCTGCACCCTCCCCTGTCCTCCCTCGATGTAGTTCCAGCATGGGGTGACACGTGAATTGCAGGTACTGTTGCCAGCAAGACACAACCTGGGCACGAGTGGAGTGTCAGCAAAGGCTTCCCAGTCAGACGGTACAGGTCAGCCTGCAAGACAGAAATATCCTTTCCGCTCTTTTTTTTTTTTTAGGTAGCTTTAGTATTGGTAAGAGTACTAATTTATTTACTGTTTTACAGATCACTTTCAACAACAAAATAATCATCTTGTCTATTTTAAGAAACCTAATTGCAATGAGAACTGAAATTCCATTTCCTATGAAACCAGTTCAAATATCCTTGAAAATAAATCTGAATATCAAATTATCACTCAAGACATGCAGCTAAACTAGATCATCTTAAAACAAGGATTCTCATGGCAAACTCCATTCCCCTCCTGTATTTCAGGTTTCATTCCAGAGGAACCGTGTCGTCGTTTCTGTATGAATGTTTCAAGTTTATTTCATTTTACATTCTTACTGCGAGAAGTACGAACACCGTCATGGAGACCGTGGATTTTGAGGAAGCAGCAGTTTTCCCTGCCCAGAGTGCCCTTACTTCAGGCAGCAGGAAAGAAGAACTCTTTCAATCTCCTTGGACTAACTGAGGCAGAACTAAAAGAACAGTTTGTAAGAGGTGATGGCCCAGGAGGTCAAGCCACAAATAAGACAAGCAACTGTGTTGTCTTGAAGCATATTCCATCTGGGATTGTAGTAAAGGTAATTATATTTTATTTCATTAAGTCACAAATTTCATCATGTCTTCCGTGTCTCCTCTGATAGCACAAAGTGCAAATGTCATGGAGGAAAAGTTTATATGTATGTAAAGAACCTCAGCAAGCAGCAGTTTTGGCTATAAATCAATAAATAAACTTGGGGTCACAGCTGATCTTCCTGGCTTTCACATGCAGTTCTATTTTCTAGTTTTCAGTACAGTGTACCTCCGTTGTAGCTGCCTCGCAGTGGCAGCTGTCACATTCCTGTCCCTCTTGTGAGTAATTAGAATGTCTTCCTTAACAAGCTGATCATACTCGCTTTGCATTCTTGTTGAGCATTACTCTTACCTACTTCTTGTGGGTTAATACTTTGAAATTAATCTTTGCTTCCTTATCGCAAGGGGAAGACACAGTTAAGTTAAACTCAGAAGTTGTTTTCCAAGGTAATAGGGAAGCAATCTTGTTCGCTGACAGAATTAAAGATTAATGCAAAAGCCAGTCTGAGAAGTTACAGTAGCAAATAATTATCAGGCAGCCTCTCCAAAATATATCACCTGGACACAAAAGTTCCAGCAGTTCGAGGATGCTCTTGGCTTGTGGAAGAGGGGGGTTTCTTTACTGTAATGGCAGGAATATGTAGACTGAAGGGGAAAGCAAAAGAATAAACAGGTTAAAGTTCCAGTAAAAATGTCCTATTGCCTTTCTTCAGTGTCATCAAACAAGATCAGTGGAGCAGAACCGAAAGATAGCCAGAGAAATCCTGCAGGAAAAAGTTGACCTTTTCTACAAAGGTGAAGATAGCGATGTATTTAAAGAGAAGAAAGCATCAGAGAAGAAGAAGCAAGAGAAAAAAAGAAGAGCAAAGGAAAACCTAGAAAGGAAAAAGCACTTTAAAGAGATGCAACAATTGGATAAGAAATAAACACGTTAAATACTGACTTACCTTGTAGGTAAGGGAAACGTTTGTAATTATACCTAAACACAGTTTTCAAACTAACAGATGATGTCGGGCTTCATAAGCGCAACTGAAATATCGAGCAGTGACCTGCTATTACTGTAAAACCAAGGTGATAAAAGCAGTCATGTATTCCTACTCCAGTCTGCCATCATCTCATTAATCACATTTAGCTACCAGTTTTTCTGCCAAGTTCAGAAGATGATACACCAATCCTTGTTAAAAAGAAACTATAAACCTTCCACCATTGCTCACGGAGACAAAAAAAAAAAATCAATAGACCTCCTTCTCCCTGGCCGATACCTTATGCTGCTTCGTAGGAGTTCCAGTACCTATGGAGAACAGCCCTACAAAGTTCTAACCTTCCATCCTTACTCAGGCAATAAATCCTTTATCAACAGTGACCGGGTTTAGGCACTGGTTCTGACGGTGTAACCAGATGTGCTGATAGAGGAGACGCCAGTCACTGGCTGCCTCCTTCGGATCCGTTACCTGAACAAAGGCCGCGTCCTGCTCAGTTCTGAATGAAGTTTAAAGAGAAGCTTTACAACTCTTACCTGGAGTGGTGACGAGGACTGGGGGGAGGAAGGCACTCCTGCACGTGAGGGTTGCTCAGTCGCGTTCTTCCAGCTCAAAGGTAAAATCGGGTTTGTTACAGATAAAGAACAACGTGTGTTGGAAGCTGCCTCCCACGGCAACAGAATCCCGTTCATCCAAGCTGTGAAGTAATTAACTTTGCCTCTTAACGCTGTATTTTCTTCAAGTATCCATAGCTCCATATGTATTAGATATCCCATCTTCCTCCGGCTTTCGATTTGATTGTACAATAGTGAATTACAGTCATTTATTATGTTTATGCTGTGCTGCAGTTCAGCTTGGGCATTTTGGCATCTTCGCTCGTTTTGACAGTTGCCCATTTTATGCAAATACACGCAGCTGCTTTTCCTTTGCTCCCATTACTCTGGAGCCACCGGTGAAGTGTACTTTCCTATTTTGATCCTGTTAAGAACTCTCAATTGCTTAACCAGAACTTCTCTTTCATTTTTTGGACCGCACCCTCACCGGCCGCCACCAAGTGCTCACCGTCAGCAGTGAAGGGCAGAGCGCCTCAAGAACCGAAGCCGTAGCGTGTGTTTTGAAAGCAATGGAGACTACTCGCAACTCCACCGCTTTCTTACAGAGATCGACTGCATCCGGACTGCACCGTGGATGGAAACTCTCCAGCAACCTGCAGGCTCGTTCCCTTGTCTGTTCCCGAACTTGAGCCTCCTGCCTGAGGGTTCAATCTTTTATCTGTTGGGAGTTCTTGTTCATGGAGTGTGAATCTGATATTAAACTGACTGTACATAGTTTTAATACAAACTGTTAATGAAAATAAGCTTTATTACGTCAAGTAATAAATACATACAAAGATGCAAATAACAGTTTTAGTCATTTATCCAGAATTTTCTTTTTTTGGCAAACTTTAAACTGAAATCTCCAGCCTTAATGCAGAAATTAGCTTTCCAGGACCTTGTTATTATTTAATAGGTTTCCCTATTTTCCATATAACTCATGCACTTTAAATGGACTTCAAAGCACTAACAGTCATGCAAATGTTTATGCAAAACGAACAAAGAAGGAAAAATAAGAGAAGGGGAAGGTTATTTCTAAGCAGGGTCTATGCTGTATGACAAATTGTGACTTAGCAGACTACTAGGTACAGCATGCTATTCTGCATTTATTAAAAAAAATCCTTAGAGCTTATGTCAAACTTTGAAAGATTGACAGTTTGGGGTTAAGTGAATATAGTCAAAGGAAAAAAACAGAATGAGCCTGTGGCTGGATAAGGAGAGAACTGAAATATAGCCTGGGAGAGAAAGAGCATTCCTCTGCATGCAGTTCAGTTTTCATGTTTTAGAAACATTTCAGGGAGTTTTAACGTCTTTACAAAATGCAAACCCTCAGTAAGTTGAAAAATCCTTGTTTTCTCATTCTTAACTATACATTTTTGTAAGGGCAAAACAAGAAAGGCAAAACATTCAAAATAAAGGAATTTATCTGAATGTTTCAAGAGTCAAAAGGAATAAGTGTTACTTTTTCTTCATTAAGAGATGGAAAATCTTGCAACTGAATTAGCGGGCTAGGATCTTGCATTTCGTTCCGTCTCAGCCAAGCATTCCCGAACTAATCCTCTAGCATGAATAATGCCTGCAAAAGAATTGGACATATTTTAAATCACCTCATTCAGGTCACACTTGCAATGACAGTCCAGAGAAAGGTTTATGTATTTCTGTCCCAAGCTGCCAAGGCTACCACAGCATGCCTCAGAAAGGGAGAGAGCCCTCGCTTCCCAAACGTCAGCTGCTGCTAAACAAGTTTGCTTTCCCAGACTGGCATTATGAATTGAAAAGGGACTAAACCAGGAATCGGAGCTTGGTAAGATCTGCAGGTCTGCAGTGACAGGTACGTCTTCATGTGCAGTGCAGGCCTATTTCAAATCAGAGACTTAACAGAACGAAAAAAAAAAAAATCTTACCTACCTGTGAGTTATTTTGCTACAGTGGAGTGAAAAAAACATGAAGTTATTTGGGGAGTCATTTTAGCAAGCTCTAAAATCTTAATACCTTGGGACAGGTCTCCTCTGAAAGGATGCATCAAAATCCAAGCCCTCCTAATACTGCTCAAACACAAGTTGTGTCTCTCGTAAGATAAGAAGAAATTTTTTATGGTGTGTGCAAAAAGTTACCCTCCTAACACTGGCTCAGCTCCCAGTGTAAATCATCACCACTTTGCATGCTGCCATGTCTACTCTCATCTGATAGACATAATGTGGAATTTTCCACTACAAGTCCTCTTGCCTTGAGTTCCAGCAATCTGGACCTTGATTCTTAATCCTGGAACTAAATCTAGATTCGTGTTCACAGAGCTGCTGAAAGATAGATTTTAAAATGAGACGGACAGATTTTTCTACAACAAACGAGGTTATATTTTACTGACAGGACAAGATAGAAGGCGATTTCTCTGCTCAATCACGCTCCTTAGCACGGTGGAGAAAGGACAATAAGGCAATAGATGAGGTTTAATCTCTATTTAGAGATAATGGATTCTGTTTCTAGAAGGCTGCCAGCCCCGATCACGGCAACAGCCTTTACATCCAAGGAGTACTGACTTGGGACTTGACGGGCACAAGGCTTTGCAGAGGGTTAAATTGACACAGACAAGCAAAGCTGCATCCCGCAGCCGTGGGAGGCAGAAACGCGTACTCAAAGCAGCACATTAGACCTGGATCTGGTGGCAGGACGCCCAGTTTATGCAGCAGAACTACCCTGAATTATGTAGAACACTGGGAATTTGGCCAATTTTAGAGGTCAGTAGCCTCTGTGCTTAGGAGCGGGTGGAGCTGGGGACAGGGACTTTATTCGGGAATAACCTCCACATGGCCATGGAGGCTGCCGTCACGTCACGTGGTCACCCTCACTCACTTTTGCTCTCACACTTGCACATGCTCCTTCAGCCATTAGGCTCCCAAAACGGAGAGAGAGGTGTGTTTGTGACCAAAAGATGGCAGCAAAAAGTATTTATTTGGGATTCCTTGCAACACTGGCAAGTCACGGTGGCAGCACTGCATCTTAAACCTACGTTAGCCAACGATCGAAACACTCACTGCAAGAAGCAGCAAAACAACTTTCCTCACCGAACCGAACCGTTCAGCCTGCATCTCTCCCGGTCTCTCCCATGTTGTCCCCATTAGCCTATGGCCATTCATGATCTATTAATACTGACTCAGGCAACGCAATAAAGAGAGACTCCAGCAACATTGATTTTAGCTGGGCCAGATTCCACTTACCACTCATCAGCAGACTTTATTGCATCCTTTCCCAGAACAGCTACTAGTCATTTTATTGCATGTCATGGCAGATATATTACTCTCCCATAATGGTTGAGTCTTAAATAAGGCTTTGTAGTCTTGGGTAAATGTAAGGGGGATTTGCAAGGTGGTGAAGTTAGTCTGTTACAATAACATTCTCATTCAGGGTTGAATGCATGAGCCAAACTCAGCACAAGGACCAAGGAAAGGGAGGAAAAGGTAACCACGTTATACTGGGAAAGGACAGAACTGCCAGCACAACGCCTGTCCATGGCCTTTCAGGGTCACTTCAGGAGCTGGAGCACTGGAATGTCCCACTGCTCCTTCAGAAATATCCCTCCCCGTCCCCTGCAGAGGACAATGTCAAGCTGATGTCAGCAGTGGGGCATGCGGGGGTTTCTTTTACACTGCAAGGAAAGGGCATTTATTACCCCTTTTAGCTGACAAAGCAAAGCTGAAGGGACCTCATCAGCCAGGCCTAAAAGCTTCTACGTCTCTTCCTAGTGGACTCCTAATGACATCCACTTGACAAGAGGTAATGGAGCCTACGCAGCCCGACACCCCACAGAGAGGAGGAAGGTCTATGTTTGACACCTCCGTCTGAACAGCCTTCACTGACAACTTTTCTTTTTTTTTTTTTTTTGTGGCTCTTCTCTCCACCAGCCTCAGTGCGAATTACCACAACGTAGGACTTCTTTAGGCAAAATGCACTTTAGCAAAGACGCTTGGGTCAAGTAGACGGGTGATGTATAACAAGGAGAAGTAAACAATGCTTGGTTGTATATTTTGGAGACTGGGGAGAAAAGGGAATTGAAGGGGCAAGTAAGTCACCAGGAACCTAGAAGCACATCTCCATTAGACACCCTAAGCGTTCTAAAATAAGGTATGCATTATGAACTGAAACTCCCCTTGTGCACATGAAACACATTTGGTCACTGGTTTATCTATCAAATACAGCATGAACAGAGTATCCCAAGGTTTCAGTTGCTCGTTAATACACCTAGTTTAATGATCTCAAGACAGCTGTCTCCTTTCAAAGGAAACAGTTGTCATGAAGCTGTTTACAAGCAGTCAGTGCACAAAGTGTATGTGATACAATTTATTATTTTTAATACATTTAAACATTACCTCTTTTTAGCCTCTCCATCGCACTTTTACTCCCAGCGTACGTGGGTCTAATCTCTTTTCCTAATTCTTCTATGATAGCTAGAAGTTCTGCGTATTTGCTTTGCGGTACTTGACTGCTGCTGGTACCCTGTAGTTGAAAGTAGATTAATCTCAATGAAATACTGCTAAAACCAAAGCAATTACGACAAAGAGCAACTGGAAATTCATGGAGGACCAGAAATAGCCTGGAAGCCACTTTTTAAAAGAATAGAATTTCAGGTTTATTATATAAACATGATTTTCTTTTTGCGGTTGCTGCTACAGTTGGACGCAATGCTACATGCCATTCAAAAATCGGGATCGACTGGGAGGATGCAGCTGCAAGATTGGGACCTTCAGTGGGACAGAAGTGAAAACAGTTCTGCAAGAACAGCAAACTGAGAACTGCTTATTTAACTCTCTGCTTTTTCCATGTTTAGGTGTGTATTTTGTGGAGAAGTTAGCTAGGCAGGGAGAGGGAGAAGCAGATATAAACAAAACTGCCCATATGATGAGGGAAATCCCATGAAGTCAAATACCTTTCACAGAAAGTTTACCACCAGATTCCTGAAGCAGCCCGTAGGACTGTCTGTGACACACATTTCATGAGACTAAATTTCAGAGTATAAATTTGCCGAAGAAAAACAGTATAGAAAACCTCATTTTTTTAACAAATAATTTTGAAATATGTTAGAGCCCTCACTATCAGAACATAATTCAAGAAATGTTTCACCATGACTCAGAAAGGATGGGACTAACAGTTAATTAGTAACCAATCTCACTCAGCACTCTGCTTAGTCTAATTTGATCCCAAGACATGTGCGATGAATCAGGCTGCCATTTGGGTTTGATTTCAGATCTTGGTGGGAGGGAGGAACACCTCAGATTACAGGCCACAATCCATGCTACTACGCAAACGTAGGGTCAGTGATCTGATTAAAGGAAAACAACAAGCAGAGCTGTACCTGCATCCCTTGTGTATAGCCTAGAGATGGGGGTCCGTAGTCATTTATAAGCTGTCTGTATTGCGCAGATGTTGCCATACTTGTGGAGGGAGAGTGAACGCTCCCAGCTGTAAGAGAAAAGAAAAAAAAATCCGTTATTATCTAAAGATTAATTAGTCTGTTACACTGGGACATGTTTTAAATCACTTTTTTTCTAAAGCTGTGACCTCTCACCTTTGTCTAAGCCCACTAATGCCATTTCGGAGTCATTATTTGCTAGGAAGAGAATGGTTAAATTAATGCTTCTCTAACGTTTGCTGTACATTTGAAAATAGCACGGCCTGCAACATTATCAGTGCAAATTGTTTGCCTAAAAGTGAAACAGAGTGTAGCATGACAGGTTGTTCTGCCTAGACAAACTGTAAATATTAAGGCGCCCTATTTTTGCATATATACATTCCACATAGATGAGTCCGATGTACTGTGCTATTTTTACTTTTTCAGTGCAAGTTATCTGAAAGTAATTTTGCAACTCAAAGTGTCATCACGTGGTCAATGCAAGTTACCCTCAGTACTATTTACAGCCAATGCCAAAACTATTCCTAGGGAACAGTCAGTTGAGGTATATCAGATCTGCTGCTCATTGTATGGCATCGGAGGCGAAGAGTGCTACCATTATTCCTCTTTGTGTGATATCAGACGTTTTTAGCCAGTCATATTGTGCTATCTAAGTAAACCAAAGGAAAAATAACATCACTTCGGGTTATGGTTACTTTTTCTGAAGTCATAAAAGATTATATTCAGATCTACAGGGCTTTGAGTCAACTAAGAGTTACAGAAACAGACTCTAATTTGATCGTTGCCAAACTGCTCCAGAAATGAACAATCAAAACACTTCTTCCCCCTCGCCCTCCAACGGTAAGAATTTGGGTTTGAGAAACAATTTTTAGATTTTTCTTAGGGGGCTTAATTATGCTGCCCATTTCACAACAGTGCTAGAGGACCTGCTGGTTAGGGACTGTGCGCTCAGGACTAGGGGAGCATGACACGATTCAACTTGTTCCCTCTCGCAGCTGAAGTGCCCCTGTATCCACTGATGCTGCTGCCTTTGCCTGTAGGCACAGACACAGACTGCCTGCTGTCTGAAAAAATCTTCCCCCTTACAAACTCCTTTGCTGCATATTCCCAACTGTCTTTCATATGAGGAACAGATCTCATTTACCAGCCTTCATTTAAATCTAAATTAAACTGATGCTAAAAGTCACTGGGGCTCTAGCTTTGTTTTAAAGTTGCAAGTGATTTCGTTCCTATTTTCGCCTCACCACAGAAAGACAGTGCCAGCAGTTACACTGTAAAAAATGTGAACAGAGTGGAACAGACTCGTGTCCTCAGTTGGGAAGTCTCTTTCCACTTCAGAATTAATCACAGGACATTATCGTGGTGTTGTCTTCATTACAAGAAGGGAGCGTGTTCTTAATTTTAACCAGTTAACTGGATGTGATATCCTAAAAAAGGCAAATTGGGCTGGTCACTAGGTCATCTTAAAAAAAGCAAGGTTTCTCTTTAACTGAGCTGCTAAATTTTATGGCATTACAATCTGCATTTCCGTTGCTAAGGTTTCACATGGAGCTAATTGTCACATTTTGCTAAAGCATAGTAAAAACCAAAAAAACCCTAAACAACACGCCCATAGAGTACGGCACTGTGAAGGAACACCACAGTTTTCAGCTATTCTCTCAATTAGTTCTTCACATTATCAGCTCAAAATACATGCACAATTTTAAGATTTGTGTATGTACCACCCAGTCGATATTTCAAGTTCAGATGACTGAATTTCAACAGTTATCAAACATGACACAACAGCAAACCACATCTTTCCTCCCAAGGACTTCAAAATGCTTCAAAAACATTAATGAGTCCCTTGTGCTGCAAGGTAAAAAGGTTTAATTACCTCAATTAAGCAGAGAAAGACTTAAGCGATTTTTTCCTCATGTACAATAAAACAAAAGAGCCATCCTGCAAAGACTTGTTCCTGAACTGTTATTGCAAGCAGTCACATACAAGACCTGGGAGCTCCAGACTGGTTCAGAATTAAGGCAAGGACTCCGACGACCAGGCTCAGGAATCCTGCCCTACCCACTGAGCAAACCTTAGCTGCAGCCCATGCAAACAAAAACCAGTTTATCGCCACCAGATTGGTTAATGATAATATAGTACAGGTAATTTAGTGATTGTTTCGGATTATGTTGATTTAAGCAATGACACGCGCTTGGTCTGTACAGAATAACACAGCAGGGTATGTCTAGATAAGAAAGAAAACCCTACTAGAAACGTGGTGTGCCAAGACAAAGCGGTGAATCTAGGGGCTGACCAAGAAGGTTTCACAGATGTGCAAGCCTGCAACATCCGGCGTTGCAGCGGACAGTAGTTGGTCTCAGCATGGGAGCTTGAATCCAGCAGTGACTCAGTCAACACTGAATGACAAAAACAAACAAGAAATTTCAGTAGGCGACTATGAGTAAGAACCTGCCGCCAGAGCTGGAGCATTGATCCTGATTTGAATTGAGTGTACTCTCAGCAAGTTTGCTGATGGTACAAAACTGGGAGGAGTGGCTGAGCCGCCAGAAGGCTGTGCTGCCGCTCAGCGAGACCCGGACAGGCCGGAGAGCTGGGCGGAGAGGAACCTAATGGAGTTCAACAAAGGCAAGCGTAGGGTCCTGCACCTCGGGAGGAATAACCCCACGCACCAGTACGGGGTAGGGGCTGACCTGCTGGAAAGCAGCTCTGCAGAGAAGGACCTGGGAGTCCTGGTGGACAGCAAGCTAGCCATGAGCCAGCAACGTGCCCTTGCGGCCAAGAAGGCCAATGGTATCCTGGGGCGCAGTAGGAAGAGCGTGTACCCTCAGCAAGTTTGATGATGATACAATACTGGGAGGAGTGGCTGATACACCAGAAGGCCGTCCTGCCATTCAGCAAGATGTGGGCAGGCTAGAGAGTTGGGCAGAGAGGAACTTAATGAAGTTCACCAAAGTCAAGTGTAGGGTCCTGCACCTAGGAAGGAATAACCCCATGTAGCAGTATGGGTTAGGGGTTGATCTATTGGAAAGCGGCTCTGTGGAGAAGGATCTGGGAGTCCTGATGGACAACAAGTTAACCATGAGCCAGCAATGTGCCCTTGCAGCCAAGAAGGCCAATGGTATCCCGGGGTGCATTAGGAAGAGCGTGGCCAGCAGGTCAAGGGAGGTTCTCCTCCCCCTCTACTCTGCCCTGGTGGGGCCCCACTGGAGCGCTGTGTCCCGGTCTGGGCTCCCCAGTTCAAGACAGACAAGGAACTACTGGGGAGAGTCCAGCGGAGGGCTACGAAGACGGTTAGGGGACTGGGGCATCTCTCTTAGGAGGAGAGGCTGAGAGCTGGGTCTGTTTAGCCTGGAGAAGAGGAGGCTGAGGGGGATCTTATCAACGCTTACAGATATCTCAAGGGCGGGTGTCAGGAGGACGGGGCCAGGCTCCTTTCAGTGGCGCCCAGCGAGAGCATAAGGAGCAGCGGGCGCAGACTGAAACAAAGGAAGTTCCACCTGAAAATGAGGAAGAACTTCTTTACTTGGAGGGTGACAGCGCACTGGAACAGGCTGCCCAGGGAGGCTGTAGAGTCTCCTTCTCTGGAGATATTCAAAACCCGCCTGGACGCGATCCTGTACAACCTGCTCGAGGTGAACCCGCTTTAGCAGGGGGGTTGGACTGGATGATCTCCAGAGGCCCCTTCCAACCCCAACCATTCCGTGATTCTGTGAATTAGCAGTCAGATCAGTTGAGTTGCGTCGCTTCAGCAGCCAGGGGTGCTGTATTGTCTACTGTACCCACGACATATGCAGAGCTGTGCTGCAGACACTAGAGGCCATTGCTGAGTACGGCATGCCCTGCCAAATGACAGATCGTGGTAACCATGGTGAGTTTACCCGTTTCTTTGCAGTCTGCATCAAAAATGTAATAAGACATAATGCCATGCGCCGACCACTTTATCAGCAGCAGCAGGCCCAGAGAACAAAGAAACGGATTTGACTTGGCCATGGTACCAGCCTCCATACCCCCATGTCAGAAGTTGTGCCAGTCAAACTCGGCTGGAGGGGGAAAAAAAATGAAAAATCCTTGATTTCACCTCAATTTAAGATGATGCAATCATGAAAATTAAATTAATTGTGGGGGTATTAGTATCTCACAGGGTAACAGACCCTGAGCTTTTTGACCTATCACTTTGTATGTTAATCTCAAGTAGAAGCCCTGGGTCTTGGATGACTATTACTCAATTAACCCAAAATACATCTGCATGTCTGAACATCCTGTATATCTCAGATTAAAAAAAAAAAAAAATCACCAGCTATTGCTATTATAGTTAGCAAGAAAAATTAGGCCAGGAAGTCTCACAGTCAATACCCAGTCAAAAATCAGTCTGATTATTAGGTATTCACTAGAGAGAAAAAAAGGAGGGGGGATTTAAATTGAGGCTTGCTCTCTCACGTTAAAATGACAATGGAGACAAGACAGTTAAGAACTGACAGAATCGAAAAGGGAGTGTGCTTGGTACTGAATTTAAGTGCCACCCTGTATCACATCCCAAATTGTCTTAGTGCTTGCTGCTGTTTAAAACCTAAATTAATATACACACTTTCCTCCCTCCACTTTCCTAATTAAATGTACACAAAACCTTTTATATACCCATTTATTCTTGTGCCAACAATGTCGTTTATTTCTGTATTCAAACAGAAGACTGCCAGAAGCATTTTTCCTCACAAAAATATAGTGATTTTCTTGTTAATCAATATTAATCTTTATTAATTTGTGGGGGGGGGGGGAAGAAATGAGATCTTTGTGTCAAAATCTTTTCCTTCCAGCAGTCTCTCCGAGCCCAAATTAACACCCTGGGAGACAAAGGATCTAGAATCAATCTTTGTTTGCCTAAACTCCCACTGACCAGGAATCTTCCCGTTAATTTCTGACAGGTTTGTAGGGATCCCTTCAGCTACTTTGCTACTGTCTCTGAGCCTGAGCAATGATACCAATTTGCTGATCTAAGTTCTAATTCTTAATTCTATTGCTGCTGCTTGCTGGAAAAATAACTGGGAAGACAGACTGCTGTGCACCCTGCGAGGAAGCAGTGGGAGCAGGAACGCTGGGGTACACTCACCTGATCCACTCCCAGCAGATGCTACGGCATCTACACAGCTCAGCTGCCACCCTGTTTTACTCTCACAAACAAGTAAAATCAGGAATAGTTACTCAACTCACCAAGTTACTCATGTAGAACTGACTTAGACAAGCCAAGAGCCAACCCCATTGGAAATGTGTTTCTCTACTATCCTGTACTTTGTAAGGTCCTATAAAACCGCATAGGTAAACTCCTGCCATTTTACAAACTCTTTCCACACGTCAACATGACAGCATATAAGAAGAGATACCTGTAGCCTGAAGTTTATCCAAGGTACATGGTAGAGTCTGTGGAATCTCACTGCTTCTACCTCTATTTCAGCCTCTTCATGCTGAGGTTGCTTGCAACGTAAAGGCTGTTGCCATTTAGATGGCTGGCGGTCATCACCTCTTTATATAGAGCCGGGTGCTGGAGGTTACTGCCTCTGCCACACGACCAGAGGACATTCCTCATCTGCTTCAGATGACGGCAGTTTGATTCCTGATGGTATGTGGTATGAGACAACCGGGCTGGAATATTTTAACTGAGAGATTATAAATTCTACTGTTCTAAACTGGACAATTTTGCAAGAAAACACATGAGAAATGTTCACGTAAGCTGCTCTGCCAAAGTCCATTGCGAGGCACCTTCAAGCACAGGGGGAGCGGTAACATCTTCAATTAGCCCAGCCATTTCTGCAGCAAGGATCTGAACACAGCCTGAATCACAGTTGTAGTGTTTTGGCTGGCTACAAGAATATTTGATTCCTTAGCCCTCTACGTACTTTGGCCTAAGTTCAACAAGAACTCCCTGCCATCCATGGGACACCACGTGCATGTCTATGCAAGCAGATGTACTGCACAGCCAAGCCACACACTGAACTCTACAGGAGTTGCCAACCCAGAGCGAAAACAGACAGCCCCCATTTTCCCCAACCTTCCAATGAATTTTTTAATTTAAAATAATAGACCCCTTTCTCATTTGCACAAAACATTCCTTATAGCACTGGCTGTGAAAGTTATATTTTCACCCACTACTTCCCCCTTAAACAGCCCTTGTGGAAGAAACAGACCTTTCTTTGAATAAAACTATCTCCTTTTAAAAAATCCAGTGCACACACACATAAATACGTTCTCAGGAATTAGGACATTCTTTTATCGTAACAGCCAGAGGCCTTGCTCTTTTGATCTGTCACAGTCTGGGCCTTTCCTCTAGTACCCTCGTTCTATTTAATCTTTCCATGTGGATAACAGTCAAGTTTTATGTCTCCTCTTCCTACCCCCCTGCCTTTCTTTTTTTTTTTTAAATCAGAAAAAACAAAAGACAGTCACTTGGACTCCCCACCATTCTTCTTTTCTAGCTTAAGACACGGGATATTTCTACACTAACAAGTTATTTGGCACAACAGGAAAGGATCAAAAGAGGAAAGCATTTGGTACACGTACACCACATGTAGTTGGGATGAGTGGGTACGACTTAAGGCTAGATTTCAGTCTGGTCCCCCGGACTAGGTGTCTGTATTGTGGGTATGGTTCAAAGCTGTCCGATCGCTGGTTTGGACCCTTGTGTTCCCGTTAAGGGATGGAGCATCAGTGTTGCCCAACTGAAGTAGAGCTTCTGGTTTACTTTTATCCAAAAGGAATCAAGTTAGCATGAACCAAAACCACTTCGCAACTCAACCAACATGTGATGGGTGGGGACGATGAGGAGATTTGCTGACTGTGAAAACCATACCATTCCTCTGAAGCTAAACACTGAAGTAGACAAAGCCAAAAATGCCGGTTTTCTAAATGTCCAAACAAGTCCACTTGAAAACTGTTAATTCTAAAACATGTTTAGTGTGCTTCTTTTCAGATCATTTTTAACTTCGCACGGACTTCCAGAGATCAGGGAACCAGCAAATTTCAGTTTGAATTGGAGGGGGGAGTGTATTTCCTAGAAATTATCCCCTCTGCTAAGGCATGAACAATTTGCTCTCTGCTCTGCCTACAAACAGTATTCTTTCCAGTACTCCCACTCCTAAAACAACCTCTCAATATGGACAACAATATCAAACATAAGCTGTCTCCGTAAAGGGCGACAAGCAAGCCATTTGCTCATGCAAGCCTGCACTGCAGTCTCACTAATACAACAAACGGCCTAGTGTGCTTGGTATCGTTTCTCAGGACTGAATGAAATCAGTCTCTCCAGTTGCAAGCTACAGCCCCAGTTAGGGAAATTATTTTCATTTCACCTCTCAGTGAGAATTTTCACCAAGAAACTTCTGGTTGCTGTGAGGTGCGGCAGGTGCACTGACAGCCCTGTGAGTCCTCAGCTACCACGGTACCTGTCGTACAGGTCACCGCTTGTTCATGTGGAGCCAAGACGCAGCTCCTGCACTTGTCACAGTCTGCTGGAATTTGTTTCCAGATCCTACATACAACAGTTTTTAAGCTTTATCACAGGAACAGAGTTTGTCTTAAAACCTGACATTTCTGCAAGAACTCGAATAAAACCAAAGGAAAATCCCAAGCTGTTTCCGCTGGCTTCTGTACCTTAAAACTACTTTTCTCTGACCTGTGCATACTCTGAACAAAATAGGAATGCTGGTGAATATCCACAGAGCCAGAAAGCACATGGAAGCAAGGGGAAAGACAAACTACAGACCAGTTCACAGCTGGTGTAAGTCTCTCTGGTTCCATTGAAGTCAATGGAGATGCTCTTCTTCACTTCAGCTCAGCAGCTGGCCCTCTTAGAGAGAAATAATTAAACAATATGAAACGCAAGATCGACGAGGAGGAAACTACTTCACAGGATTCCGTATGATAAGCAAGAGAATACAAACAAATCAAACGATGGCTGTTAGAAAGGGTAACAGAGGTTCCCCTGGGACACTGCAGGGTCAGCTGAGGCTGGGAAGGTAGAGCCACAGCACCGCAGGTCCCTAACAGAGCACCTTTTTACCACCCAGGCAGAGAAGGTGCTTGTGCAGGAGATTAAATAGGGCTCCCCGAGCACAGTTTGGAACTGACAGCCTGGGGTGCTACACACAGGGGCCCAATTCCCCGAGCACGGGCCCTCCAGGAAGGTGATTGATAATTCGGACAAAACACTGCAAAGCCTGATTGCAGGCACACTGGGCCAAGTGTCACCACTGACCTGGGCAATGGGGAAGAGGAATAGGCACCAAATTCTGCTGTAACAACACATTCTTCTTCCCTCAGCCTGGTGTAAGGCAGAGGAGTCAGCACCCGGATGCTTCCAGCATCCTGAGTCACTTGCGGAGCAGCTGCATTTTCCTCACCCGCAGTCATCCCCAGATCTGCCGACAACCCACGGAGGCTTCCTCCCCATATTTTCTCCCCCCCAAACAGCTCCTCTCCCTCAGGACTTCAGTCCAGCTTTTTGAGTCCCCAACAAGCTCCCGTGCAAGAACAGAGCGCGGTCCCCCACCAACCACAACCGCTTCATCTCACTGATCCACTTACTGAGCGCAGTTTAAACGCGATTTTGCAGAGCGGCCACTCTCAGCCTAAACTTGAAAGGAGTTAGCTCTGCAGCAAGGACGCAGCTCCAGGAGCTGAGTCGACACTGCCTTTCCAAATACTCCTGCACCAGAAGCCCTGCACTGCAGGGAAGCAGCATTACCTCCCAGAGGAAAATCCCTGTGAGATCCACAGCTGGCCAGAGCCCTCCGTCGGCCGAGACCAAAATATTCAGCATTCATACAGAGAGGCTTCTGCAGGGCTGATTTCAGGCCAAAAGGGACAGATTTCCTGTTTTCCTCTCCTCTGCAGGACGGGGCGGGAGGGTCCTTTACCCCAGGTTTGGAAGCAAACCTAGGATTTCTGCTCCTGGCTGGGGGGCATTTAATTCAAGCACAATAAAGAAGCAATCTCCTTCAACTCAGAATTAAGCTCCAGAAAGGAGGGGGCCTTTTGCAGTCATATCACTCTGAATGCGATATGTGCAACTGCAAGGACTGCTTTGTCTAACTCCCTTGGCCTTAGGCCACGGTGCTGGCAATACCACTAGCTAGAGGAAGAGCTGGTGCGTGAGGATAATGGCAGAAGACAGGGAGGGAAGAGAGAGCCCATTTTGGATTCAGAGGAGGACGTTCTTTCATTGAAAAGATTCTGGGGGTGTTGAGGATGATCCGAACTCAGAAGAGAGGACAACTTAAGACAGGAATAGTTCCAGCATGACAGCAAACTGCTGCTAACTTGCCATTACGAGGAAAAAAGGAGCGGGGGGGGGGGATAAAACTGCATGAAAGAATCTAAAACCCTGATTGCAGCCGGAGCGTTAGAAAGCACACAGACACGGCAGCAAGAGGACGGGAGACGGAAACTTCACCACTCGGCTCGCATTGTGAGCAGCATGTCTGACCCGGGAATTTGCAGCCCTCGCTCGCAGAGCAGCCAGACTCGGATCCCCCCCATAGCATGACCTAATCCCCACCCCTCACCCACCATCGCAAAATACCACCTTTGTTTTCCCTGCAATTTTATGGCTGTTCCGGAGAGCAAGGCACAGGTTCTCGTGGGAGCCGACAGTAGAACGGTTTCCCTTGCTGGGCTTTGTTTTGTTTCTTTTTTCCTCCGGTGACACTTCTGCTTTTTGTCAAAAAAAAATCCTTAGCACATCCCCTGCTTCCTGACCCCTTCTGCAGAGCGGCGCGGGGGCCCGCGGTGCTCCCCACACGCCGCCCCGGCACACCGAGCCCTGCCACGCTCACGGCCCCACTGAGCTCAGCCCCACGCAGGATCAAAGTGCCCGAGGCACAGGGACCTGGGTTCATCCACCAGCTGGAGACGATTCCTTGCAGTAAAATAAGATTGCTGCTCTCCTGGTAGCTAGAATAGAGGTGCATCTTGTTGATCCCTTTCGTTCATCAATCTCCCAGGATTACAACCACAAACGGCGCTGTAAAAATCACCGAGGCAGATTTCCCTCCCTCCTAAACCCAACTGCAAAACTTTCCCTTCTCAAAAAAAAAAAAAAAAAAAAAAATCAGCCTGATTTCTGGCTGCGGATGGTCTGATGCCAGCCCTGCAGGCTGGGCCCTTCCAAAAAAAAAAAAAAAAAAAAAATCAGCCTGATTTCTGGCTGCGGATGGTCTGATGCCAGCCCTGCAGGCTGGGGCTGCGGGGAAGGGAGACGGGAATCTTATTTTTTTTAAGTCGGAACCAACTTCTCCATTTTGGTTCTGTTTAATACCAGCCGACGCGCAGAGATGAGCGAGATCCCCTCCAAATATCCCACAGCGAAGCAATCGCTGCTGCGGCTTTGTTCAGGCTGCCCCGATTTACACAGGCTGCCCGCGACCCAGACCCACTGCCACAGCAACGCCTCGGCACGGGAAACCCGCTCGCCTGCTGCTGCCTTCGGAAATTTGGGAGGGGGGAAAAACAGGGGGGAATGTAGCGCAAAAAAAAAAAAAAAAAGCTAATGCGAGCAAGGA